ATATCGTGAATTGGTTGCCTGTAAATTACTGATTACCAATTCACGATATATTCCACGTAAAGTTGAGCGATAATACAAAACCATTAATGGACTTTACTCACTACCATAACCATTACCATTAATGTTCTCAAACAATAAGTTAAAATGTTCTAATATAGTTCTCTTTCCGAAAATGTATGGAGAAAACAAGAATTTTTAATGGTAATGGTTCTTAACAACCCATTATTTGTAAGGTCCACTTCCAACAAACCATAATACATAAGGTTCAAACTTTATCATTAAACGTTCATGTAAAGTTCCATAACCATTTCAGTTGAAGTTTAGCAGGGATTATAAACAATTTTTAACCATTTTCGGTAAGGTCAATTAATGGTTTACGATTATGCGGGTAGCTATGGGGAGTACGTCTAGCGAACGCTAGCACATCTGAAGCAGCACCCATCGGCGTTTTGGAAGTTCGTGAAATCACAACGGTCTGGTAATCGTATTCCGGACATAGTTGAGTTTAACCGGATCGCTGCTAGCTCCCCTGTCGATGTTGCTAACTTGTTTGCGAGCTTCTTCCAATCAGTTTACAACACAAATTCACCACCTCTAAATCCTTCAAGTTTCGATCGCATCCACGAGTACAACCTAAATATCCCAACGTTGCGCTTCTCACCGGACGACGTTATGAAAGCCTTGAATGACCTCGATGTTTCTAAAGGCCCTGGGGTAGATGGTATTCCCCCATCTCTGCTCAAATATTGCGCACGCTCACTCGCTTCTCCGATCTCCTGCATATTCAACCGTTCGCTGAGCGAAAGATCATTTCCCAATGTTTTTGACACTGTACGTGTACGCTACCGAAAAATTAAGAGCTATTGGATTCCCTACTTGGTTAGTTGATTGGATTCTCTCTTACTTGACCGACCGCCATTCCTTCGTTTCGATCAATTCTGCACGCTCGAAGGCCTTTGCAATTACTTCGGGAGTACCGCAAGGAAGTGTGCTCGACCCAATGCTGTTTGTCCTTTTCGTCAACGATCTGTGCCTTCAGATTTCTTCATTAAAGCAAATGTTCGCCGACGACCTGAAGATGTTCAGAGTCATCGCGACCGTACTCGACTGCCTCGCCCTGCAAAATGACATAAATGGGCTACTCCTACTGAGTGTCAACATAGGAAAATGCAAGGTGATATCGTTTTCCCGTCGAAGCACCACCGTCAACCACCAATACACAATTGGATCCGTGTCATTAGAGCGTGTTACGTCAATTTGTGATCTTGGTGTTACTATTGACTCGAAGTTAAGATTCAACGAACATGTTGCACTTGTTACGGCTAAAGCTTCTACGGTTCTTGGATGCATTCGACGCTATACGTGGCAGTTTACAGACATTTTTGCACAAAAAACATTGTTCTGTACTTTGGTACGTAGCATCCTGGAATACGCGGCCTCTGTCTGGACACCTTATCACCTTATTATCGCTGATCATCAGAGTCGAAAGAATTCAGAAGGTTTTCATTCGATTAGCGCTGCGCAACCTTCCATGGAACGACCCGCTAAATCTGCCTGACTACACAGCACGCTGTATGCTGATTGTTTTGGAAACCTTACGTGCTAGGCGCACAAACATTCAGCAACTAGTTATTTTCGATTTACTGCGTGGCAACATTGATTGTCCTCAACTACTACAGGATGTCCCTCTATACGTTCCACCCCAACAGTTGAGGAGCTCACAACTTGTCGCTGTGCCGGCTCACCGGACTGGTTACGGTTTCAACAATCCATTCGACGCTTGTCTGCGAGCTTTTAACGATACTAACGAGGATTTCAATTTTGTTTTTAGCAAAAGTGCTTTTAAAAATAGGATTAAGAATATTAGGTAAAGTAGTCTGTACGATTTTTATTTTTTATCGAAGAAATAAATAAATAAATAAAGTAAACATATATGAGTTTCATAAACTACAGATCACGTCTAGCCGAAATATCCCGAACTGGAACATTAGGTTGTCTCGAGCCCGAAGGGAATCATAAAAATGTGTTCTGACTCCACGATACTCCGCAAAGGATGTGATCAGCGTCCTGGTAACCTTGTCCACATTCACAGAGATTGCTGTCTCCCAACCCCACACGGAACAAGTGAGCGTTTAGACAATAGTGATTGGACATGAGACGAGACATCACGCGTATGAAGTCTCGACCCAAGTCCAACCCTTTGAACCATGCAAACTTCGACACCTTAGGGACAATTTATTGAATGTAGCCATCGTCCCAAGCTCCCTTCACTCCATTGATGTTGCCAGCTAACGAGCGACTGCTGACGATAAATAGAGAAAAATTCACTATAGGCGATTTGTCGATCATAAATGTCGCCTTCCATAGCGCCCACCTTCGCACGTGAATCCGCCTTCTCATTGCCCAAAATTGAGCAATGCGAAGGGACCCACGCGAAGGTGATGATGAAAGAGCGCACGGATAAAGCACTAAGCAGTTCTCGTATTTTCAAGAGAAAATACGAGAAGTGCTTTACCGGCCTAATGGAACGGATAGCCTCGACAGAACTGAGACTATCCGTAAAAATAAAGTAGTCGTGTGGAAGAAGTGAAGCAATAGTTTCCAAAGTGCAGTGAATTGCTGTTAGTTCAGCCACATACACAGAACAAGGAGCTTCAAGTTTTCGAGAGGCGCTATGAAATTCATTAAATACATAAAAACCAGTGGACTCCTCTATTGATGAATTTACGTTACGGTCGTTCAGCTGATGGAAATGATGTTAAAATGATAATGACGTTTTGCTACCTGTCAAATCGTATGGAATATTTTTTAGTACATCATCACTTTTGTGGTTTTGGACTTCAAACCTAGGTGTCGCATGCACTGGTGCAGTTTCGCGTAGATTCATCAATTAGAGATCCATCTGTGAAAAACGTTCTTGCAGAATCAACATGGCCAAACTTTGCAGAGTATAATAACGGAGCAATCATAGGATGATGATGCTATGGAATTTCGCGTATTTCCTGCATCATAGCTAAATCAAAATTCACCGAATTGCCGAAATCGGAGAAGACTACACGATTGGGAATATTTCTTGAAGGGCTGACATCCTGTGTTAAATATAGGTACACCCAACCGGTGGATGTAAGATTCGCTTACAATTATGTGGGATTCATCATCAGAGGATGTAAGTGGAGACCGCATGAACCGAGGATGCAATATATCTAGCTGTGATCCAATGCAAGATAATTGGAGACCGAAAAATGTGAAGTGTATTAGTGAGTTAAATGAATTATGTCGAAAAAAATTGGAAAAAGGTTGCCGACTGGGACTCAGGACTGCAAGTGAGGCGATCGTTTCTAGCGTATTGCCGCCAGTTCAGCAACATATACGGAACAAGGAGCATGAAGCATTTGAGAGGCGCTATGAAATTCGTTGTAAATACCAAAACCAGCGGACGCCTCTATTAATGATCCATCTGTGAAGAACGATCTTGCGGAATCAACTTGGCCAAACTTTGCAGCGAAAATTGACGGAGCAATCATGGAAGATGATGCTCTGGGATTCCGCGAATCTCTTGCGTCATGGATAAATCAAAATGAACAGAGTTGCCGAAGTCGGAGAAGCAAACACGATAGGGATTATGCTGGGAAGGGCTGACATCCTGTGTTATGTACACGTAGTACAATGACATAAAACGAGTTTGAGGGTTTAGCTCAAGAAGCTCCTCAAAGTTTGCAATCACCAGTGGGTTCATAATTTCACAACGGGTGATGAACCTGAGGGACAATTCCGAAAACCGATCAGAGAGTGGCAACATGCCCGCCAACACTTCAAGACTCATCGTATGAGTCGAGTGCATGCATCCTAACGCGATACTAAGACAGCGATACTGGATCCGTTCCAGTTTGATGATGTGCGTTTTAGCCCCCGACTGGAAGCAAAAACTACCGTACTCAAAAACTGATAAAATCGTTGTCCGGTACAACGTTAGAAGATCTTGCGGATGGGCTTCCCACCACGTTCCGGTAATTGTACGGAGAAAATTGATCCTTTGTTGGCATTTCCGCTTCAGATACTCAATGTGGGATCTCCAGGTGCATTTTTAATCGAACCAGAGCTCAAGATATTTGAAGGACATAGAATGAGTGATCGGTTTACCCAAAAGTTGAAGCTTTGGTTGTGCTGGGCTATACTTCCTAGGGTGGCTGTTTCCATCACTTCTTATGATCAAAAATACGAGACTTCTTTGTTCATTTTTGAGGAAATATGAGCAACTCAAATTTACTCGCAGCAAATATTTTTACTCTGCGTACAGCTGTCTTGCCTCTTGGTTCTAATGATGATAAATCACGATTACTTTTTCGAAGGGACGTATCAGCTTTTGTAAGCAATGCATTTGATCGTCGGTTTGGCATAACTAGTAGCTCGCCCACGCATACTTACACTACCATTAAATTGGGGAAATTTCCCCCTACCTTATAGTGGTGTTAGTTTGCGTGGACGAGCTACCAGTTACGCCAAATCGACAATCAAATGCATTGCTTACAAAAGCTGATACGTCCCTTTGAAAAAGTAATCGAGAAATATTTCGACAGTGAGCATTCATAAGGGCGTATACGCGATGATCGATTCTCTTCATCGATTTTCTCTTTTGTTAATAACTCGCTAGATTTAACGTTTGTCGGTGCGTTTGCTGTTGCTTTTGATAGCCTATGCAACCTGTTGCAACTCTACATTGAATAAATTCTACAAAATTGTTGCGCTTAGCTGTAGCAATGCAAAGAGAAAATCGATGAAGAGAATCGATCATCGCGTATAGGCCCTTATGCATGCTCACTGTCGATTTAATCATTTTGATCATTGTATCCTGTGCTGAACGTTGGGCCTTCCTAACATAAAATAAACTACCATCCGAAGCACTCATTCACTCAGAAAACTGCCAAGCCTCTCATGCAGTGCCAAACGAAGGGTTCAAAATATTGAAACAGACTGTGGAGAGCGAACGAAAATCACAATTTTTTCAATAATTATTTTAAATTGGGATTAACTTTTGGTCGTAGCAGTTTGGCCATGTCCTCTTGCAGCGAGATTGTGTCAATGTCGAGCAATATGTGTAGACTTTGCCTGCAAAGTAGCAACAGATTGGTGTCCGTATTTGCCAAGTGGGACGATACATTCATTGCACTGATCATAACAGAGTACACCACAGTGCAGGTGGGTAAATAAACATTGTTCGGCATAATCGGGGAGCAGGGAGCGTAATGGGCAATGTAAAATATTTGTTTAACATAATGAAACTATTTTTTTCCGTAGGTAACGGAGAATGACGGTCTTCCAGAAAATATTTGCCAGTCGTGTTTTGCAAAGCTTAAGGATTTTTGTGAATTTATTAGGAAGGCAAAAAATTCCGATCTAACGTTACGAAGCATGATTGAAAAGGAGATGAAACTAGAGAAACCAGAAGTTTGTGTCTCGGAAAAGGATAAAGGAATCATTGAACCACATTTTACAGAAGTTTCCGCAGAGTCTGTAGAGATTAAAATAGAATCTAAACCTGATGATTCGTTATCTGATGAAAACAGAAGTAATGATGAATTCGAAGACGCTTGCGATAGCGACTGGAAATGTAAGGGATCGGATAATGAAGAAAAACCTCTTGCTACGGGGAATACGAAAATTTCATGTAAACAACAGGTGAAGGACCTAGCGTTGCCGACGTTTAGGGCAATTGAAGTTGATAGAGAAAAATGGCTTTGTTGCTCTTGTCTAAAGCAATTCGATAGCAGAGAAGAATTGAAGGTACATAGCCATGAGGTTCACATGAAAGATCAATCTGTGGCTTCAAGCAAAACGTTCGTTTGTGAGTTCTGTTACCGAAGATATTCATCGGCGATTGCAGCGAATGCTCATAAACGAAAAACGGATGCGATCACCGTTCTGTACGAGTGTAAACTGTGCGGTTTGATAGTACATGAACAGTTGAAATGTCAGCAACATGCCAGAACTCACGCCAAAAAAGCAGTACCGAAACAGAGGAAGGCCAAACCGACTCTGGAAGAGCTTATGGAGAAATTTGGTAGACTGTGCTGTGCTTTGGGGTGCTCGCAGTCATTTGAAACCGAGAAACAACTGCTGGCCCATTCGCACTCGGTACATAAGGCTAACAAAGTGGAAAGTACTTTGACGTACAACGAAGGAAAACCAATAGAATGTCAAGTATGCTTCAAACGATTCAAACAGAGAGAGGGTTTGGATCGTCATTTGCGGTTCAAGTACAAAGAATCGTCCAACATTTGTACGCTTTGCGGTGCAAAATTTCCCACTCTTACATCGTTGACAATCCACGAGAGGAGTCATACTCGGGAAAAGCCGTTCGAGTGCGAGATTTGTTCGAAAGGGTTTGGCGATAAACAGAGTTTGAAAAGGCACTACGTGAAACACACCGACGAGAAACCGTTCATGTGTTCGATCTGCGGCGTTTCGTTCAAGCGCAAACGGGCAATGCAATCGCACATGATCATCCACGAGCCGGGCCAGCTTCCGTTCAAGTGCGAGTTCTGTGAGAAACGGTTTCGCGTGAAGGCAAAACTTCTTTACCACATGCGTACCCATACGGGTGAAAGACCGTACTCCTGTCGGTAAGGTTCGTTGAGTTGTCATTGGAAAATTGATTTGAATTTGCATTGTTGTTCGTTTTAGGTACTGTGAAAAGTCGTTTGCCGATTTTTCCAACCGAATCCGACACGAACAGTCTCACACTGGTAAGTGCAAAGATTGTTGGTTTGTTTTGGCTTTGATTAATTTTTCTTTTCAAGGTGAAAAACCGTATAAATGCTCGTCCTGTCCGATGGGTTTCATTACTAGGCGATTTATGTTGCGTCACGAGAAGAAACATAAACGTAATGAGGCTCAAGCTGAAGAGCGACCGCCAATGGATAATGTTTCCTAGATTCAGGAATTGATGGGTAGTTCGAATTCAACCATCTTGTCTCCAAAGTCAGGCTTTGTCGGTGCTGGATATTTGCTACATTTACAGCTCTCCATAAACAGTTAACCGTTGCAAAATGTTATGCATTAGGTAGCTTACGAGTTGAACGATTGACAGGAGACCAGCGGTTACATACTCGAAATGGGTACTGTTGAAATGAGCCCAAAATCGGTAGACATGGTTTTTAAAGTACGTAAACATTCGTAGCCTTGGGAAAGCGCAAGTCATCCTGAAAACGAACCGGCATGCAAACTGATGTTTCAAATCGTAAGTATGATTGTATTGAAAATTTATTGGATGGAATGGGTGTAGGGTAAATTACGGAAATTCAGAAACACCTTTACCTTTTATTATCAGGGGGAAAAATGAAGTCCTTGAACGCTCATTTTTTCGAGTGAAGAGGGTGGTAAGATGGGAATAGTGAACAGGTGGGGCATAGTGAGCATCCCGTGCACCAGCTTGGACTTTCGGCCGTTCGGAACAAATTGGTTGGTGCTAGGATCAATATCATAATGCAATGAATCTACAAAAAGTTGATTTGTTTCATGCAGCTAGAGATCCAGGCCCAAACTGAGGGATGCTCACTATGCCCCTTCTCCCCCTATATCATTTTTCAGAGCATCGATTGGCCAAATTCGAGCGCCAAAGGACTTGGTTTACCACCTGATGATAATAGGTAAAGGAATTGCCGAAGCCGGCATTTCCCCAAGGTTTTTCTCTATCTTTGACGCGAACATAGTTTAAGTTGTTGATTGGTGAATCTAATGAGTGGCCCTATGCGTTGTATGACAAAGCATTTTTTGTAAAATAAATATTTTGTCCTAAAGAAGGTTCCACAACCGGATCGAAAACTCGGCGAAAATTGAATATAAACTATCGTATTTTTTTTTTTAAATTGAATGCCGAAAATACCAAACAATCATGACTGACAACTATTCCCAAATACTACCAAGCTAGTTAATTGTTCGGCTTATTTCAATATATCAATAAGTAATCAAAGGATTGAACGTTCGTAAAGAAATGACTATATGTTGATGCGAATGCTAATGAATATTAAGTGGGGTAAAAACGCACATGTTGTGTTCAAATTATTGGTTCTTGGTGGTTTAAATTTCAGAATCATGAAACAACCCAATGCAAATGCAAAACCCAACCCAATTTACAAAAATGTTTCAAAATTCAACCACTGGCCCTGCTGAAGAAACTTAATCAAACATAGTCGTCCTTACAGGAAAAAGCCTCGGGAATCGAATGGAACTGGTTTCATCTTGTGTAAGATAGTGCAAGGCTGAGTTTTAGGCGGTTTTCATCCCAAAAGCACTCAATGTTGTATAACTCTCAAAACATTTAATCGCAATGAAGATACTAAACCTCATTTGGTTATGAATTGAAAAATATCTCAACAGTGGTCCTGTCATTGGGCTGGATTTGACCTCCGACTAGATTATGGATTACCATAATGGGAATTACTTTCAAAAACATGAAAAAAACATCGCACAAATATGTCCTATGTTCTGATATTGAATGTTCATACAGCAAAACCACATCACCCTTTATCGATGGCTCTGTTTATCTACAATGATTCTGATTTGTGTTTCCCTTTCTGATTGCGTGAGGCGTGAGTATTTTCATGCTCCTTTTTCAATCGCTTGGTGATGAAAGTCTTCTCGCAATAATCGCATTTGTACGGCTTGACACCTGAAAATAAAATAGAAACACAAATTAGCATCACATCGATGTCTTCAAAACAAAATTAACCTCACCCGTGTGTGACATTTCGTGTCGCAATCGATTTGTGCTGTCGGCGAAAGCCATGTTGCAGTACCGGCAAGGATAAGGCCTCTCTCCGGAATGTACCCGTTTATGGTAGATCATTTTGGCCTTCACCCGGAACGCCTTCTTACAAATGTCGCATTCAAATGGCAGCTTTCCTTCATGCATCAACATGTGTCCCATCAAATTATGCTTCTGCAGATACGACTGGCCGCAAATGTTGCACATGAACTCCCTGGTAGCCGAGTGGCGTTTTACATGTGCCTTCAGTAGATCCATATTGATGTAAGATTTTGGACATTGCTCGCATTTAAACGTTTTATCTACATTCTGATGATCTCTTTCATGACGCTTGCATTCACCGGGTTGTGCAAATTTCAACCCGCAAATCGAACAGACATGTCTTTTGGGCATGTAAATCCGTTGTTGGTGTGCCTTGAGTCCATTTTCATCTATGAACCTTCGATAGCAAATTTGACACTCAACAGGACGATGCTTGGTCGACAACGAGGACTGCACCCTGTTGGCTTTGTGAGCGTTGACGGAATGTGCTAGAAGTTCCTCTTCGCTATCGAATACCTGGGTACATCCCTGAGCACAGCAGATTTTACCACATTCATCCAGTATTTCAACCGGAATGGGTGCTACAATGATGGATGATTTTGGAACCAAAGGGGGATGCTTGTGGGCATGGTGTCGGCGCTTTGGAGATGCAGTGAACCGTGCCTGGCAAATTCGGCAGTCGAATACTTTAGTGATCGATTTGACTTGTTTGTAATGAGCTTTGAGAGCGACTAGCGACGCGTATCTTCTAAAGCAATATCGACAGACATGCTTTTTGGAAGCTTTAAAATTTCGATTAGCTTCATGGATGCTTTTACCGTGCGACGTTAGCTCATCTTCCGAGTCAAATAGTTTATAGCACGTGCAGCAAATCAACTTATCATCAACATCTACGATTGTGAATGTGTTCTTCTCTATTTCGTCAAGATCATCAATCCACTTTGCTTCAGTTTTCTTCGGGACTGAAGCGTTGTCATCAGAAGTCATTTTTGGCCGCTTGGGTTGATAATCTTCGTCCGAGTCGCTTTTATTCTCAGCTAAGTAATCGCTATCGTTGCCATCATCGAATTCAACATTAAGGTCCGACTCTATCATTTCCTCCTGCTCCTCGTCTATCGGTTCATTCTTAATGTCCACATGTTCCGGATGATCAAGAACGGAAATTTCCAACGCATATAATTGCTCCTCCTCTTCTTTCATTTCCGTTTTGAACATTTTTCGCAACAACCGATCCGATCGCCTTGTTTTATCGATGAAACGGATAATGAATTTAACTTCGCCAACGCAATCCGAACAGATAGATTCCGATAGACCGTCATCTTCCAAAATCTAAAATTCAAACAACTGTCCATCATGCCCCAAATGTCCTGCAATGCATTGTTGTTTACATGGATGATCTTTACCTGAACGGCAGAGCACTCGGCGATGACGCTTGCAATGATGGGTCCTCCATCCAGTTCCGAAAAAATCGGCAGCATTTCGGGACGATTTTCAGCACAAACACGACACAATAACACTGAACTCGAATGCCTTCGGATGGAAGTCATCTTGGCAACGTGAATTACACCAGTGCGATGCAAGAATTTACTCGATTATCGTAGGAAAACTGGTGATAACAAAATGGGTGAAAAATTTGCGAACTTATTTTTACTTTGTTTTGACAGATGATGACAGATAAATTTGAGTGCTCGTGTGAGTGACGGAGCTTCGGAGCAAATACACGCTCAATCAGAGCATAGCAGCGCGCAAAATATTTATCACCATTTTTGAGAGCAATCTTACCGGTGTGTTGAAACACAGCTATTTAAGCCAGCGCTGCCATTTATACAGATTTATCTGTATTATACAGATTTTTTAATCTTAATACAGACCCGATACAGAATACAGATTTATCACAGATTTTTAAATTATAATACAGATTTATACAGATTTTTATAAAATGCTTGAGAAAAAAAAATTCAAAATTTATAAAAACAAAATAACTTGCTCGATTTTATCAGCGTACCCCTAATAAAATTATTATGGTTATTTTGCTTAACGACGTGTTTGGGATATCATCCAAACCATTTGTGGAAAAGTTCAACAATTTGGGTTATCGTTCGTTTATGGTATTTATTTATTAGGGACCCCCTTCTCTCCGAAATTAATTGTTGTGCTAAAAACCATATTTTTTGCAGTGGGATCTGCTCGAGGCGTTGCTGTTTCTTTTATGCTTGTCTCACTCCCTCCAACGGAAAACGCAGTCACGCCCGATTCCACTGTGCGTTTATATAGCTGCCTTTTAATAACTCATGATGGCATCAAAATTTGATGTATTTTTATTTTGTTTTTTCGGCATGCATCCAATAACATGTTGATAACTAAATTTGTAATCTAAATAAAATATCTATATCAAAATAAGTTATCAAGCAGTTCTCACTAATATCAATATATGTTATAATTTTGATATTCTTCGCATATCTTTTAGCTCTCATTTTTGTTCTGTTAGCCATCAACTCCATCAAAATGAAATCAATTTGAGTTATCAGGAATAATGAAAACAACATAATTCTTGTTTTCATTTTGTTCTCACCCTCTGCTCGGGAACCTATCAAATTTCCATCGACAATTAATCATGTTATGGTGTTTTTGGCAGCATTCACAACCAGAGGACCAACCGCTTTCGGATGCATATGGAGCTGGTAGTAAACGATTTGAGATTGTATGGGGATTTACAGTATTAATTGAATATTTACAATATAAGCATGTATGTTAAATACAAGAAAAGTGCCCAAGCACATTAAAATGGTACAAATACAAGTACTCGTAAACATTTTACTTGCATTGAAAATGTATTTCGTAAGAAATTGCGGATTTTCTGATATTCTCCATACTGCAAAAATGATTTTACCAGCACTGGCGGGGCGAAATCTCTCGAATTTTCGGTGTAACTACCACACAAATGATGTAATTAATTGTATTCATCTATATTAAAAATATCAAATAGTAATGAACTCGTGCACTTTTTTGCATTTAAAACTGCTTATCAGGAAGATAATGAATAGAAACTAAAATCTCCATACATTTTCAAACGGCTTCATATCACTCTTATAAATAAGTACGGACGATATCACAAATGGCGCAATTATATCCCGTATGGTTAGTACGATAGCCCGAATAGGTGGTTAAGCACTATTTATGGTTATTTTGTATGCACTGTATTTGTAAAACAACAAAACATGATTAATTAAGAAAAAAATCGTCAATACAGAAAATACAGATTTCAGTGTCAACATTTCAAAGGGGCGTAATTGCTTTTGTAAACAATGACTTTAGCCGTCAATTTCTCGCGAATGATATCTTACCTCTCCAAAATTACAATGCTAGCTGGTAGAGGAAACATTCCTCTACCTGCTGGTGTTATTATTTTTCATGAGTGAGCTTTTATTTGCGAGAAATCTATGGCTAAAGCCATTGTTTACAAATGCAATTACGCCCCTTTGAAATGTTGGCACTGATTTTTTAATAGAGTGGATACAGATTTTTTATAAAACCACCTGGCAGCTCTGATTTAAGCAACTATACACTCAAAAAATAAATCACATTTCCAATGGAAAATATCCATTAGAATTCCACATAACTTTCATGTGATCTCATAATTGGGAATCGCACTACAAAATCACATGAACCTTATGTGTCAAATGAAATTTATGTGATTTATCACATAGAATTCATGTAATCATATGAATCTTATGTGATTTTCAGATACGAATCATTAATTTTGTTATTGGAAAAATATCATGTGCGTTCCCAATGGAAACTATATGAAATCTTTTTTCGGTGTACAACACCATAGACTTCTTGCCGAAAGATCTCACGAACATTAACTCGCAAAGATGTGTACTGATCAGGGATGCCAGATGTATCTAGAAAAAAATTCAACGATATCGAAAAAATGTCTTCATCGCTACTTTTCAAATTTGAGCGTCCGGATGATGATGATAAGTTGATGAGCTGTTTCTTGCGACAATGGTACCTAGGGGTTCCTACCTGAATACATGAAACAACACCTACAAAGGCGTAAAATGCATCGAACTCGATCATTCATCATTTCGAGGCACACCACTACCGAAAGGAAAAGTGCGCTCATCGATGGGGCCATCACCTGGAATAACCTGCTGCTAGCAACAACAACCTACCATCTCCACCTTCAAGGTTGCCCTCAGAGGGTAATGAACCAAATTTAAGTGTAAAAGCACTTGTATTCAATTGAGTTTTCAAATTAACTTAATGATAATTAGGTGTAAAAGCACTATCTAGTTTCCAAATGTATATTTCTCTAATGTATTTTTCCTTGACCTGATAAAAGGTTCTACCAGCAGGGTATCGTAGACTAAATAAGTTACAATTACTAGTACGGTGGACAATTCGCTTGGGCAGGTCATCAAGAATACTGCTGCTGCGCAGCATTCGGTTAGGGCCAGTTCCGTCTCCCGTATGTCGCAGTGCGATGAAGATTTGATCCACGGAGAGTATAGCATATATTACGCGCTGGTGATTCACATCGGGAAGGGCGCTTACTTAGCTACCGGAACACGGATAGGTTGCTGGTGATATCGAAGTTCATACTGAAGGAGAAGCTCTTGCTGCAGTTTATGATTGAGACCGAGGAGAAACAGGAAATTCCGATGGAAGTGTACCTGCCGATGTTGATGACCAACGGATGGAACGACCGGAAAGGACACTTCAGCACGATCCGTCCAGTAGCAGCAGTTGCGTTGGTGGCGCCGCCAGTTTATATAATTCGCAGGGCAAAAGTAACCGTCAGAGGAGGCAGCAGCAACAACAGCGACAAAAGCGTGGTTGGGAAACGAACCACCTAGTCGCCGTCGTGATGTCGGCATATTCCGTTGCTTCGGTTGCGGACCAAGGCAGTAAAGGTGAGTTGGAGGCTCCGGCGAAATTATCTATTGACCAATACACGGAATGAACTAACGTAAAAATTTGACGTTTGAGCGGTGCCGTGTTTACTAAATATGAACACATGATGTAATACTCACGTAACTTTAGAAAAGGGCCTATCAAATTTTACAAACAACTTGTTAGCCCCTTTTCACGCGAACTAAATAACGCTCATGCAAACCAAGAGCACTATCGGGAAGGGGACAATTTACCCTACCCGATGGTGTTGTTGGTTTTCGTTGGCGTACTTCAGTTCACGTGAAAACGGCTTAACAACCCTAATAAAAATGGTATGGTTAATATGCTTAACGACGTGTTCTGGGTATCATCCAAACCATTTGTGGAATAGTTCAATGATTTGGGTTATCGTTCGTTTATGGTTATTTTTTATTAGGGAAGTTGTTTATAAAAGTTAATAGGCTTATTTTCTAAAGTTACGCGAGTATTTCGTCATGTGTTCATTTTTAGTAAACACGGCACTGCTAAAACGTCAAATTTTTTCATGAGTTCATTCCGTCATTGGTCAATTTCTAAAATTTGTGTGCGTCAAAAATCAATTTATGACGCATCTTTATCAACCGGTGGAAACTAAAGATTTTAAATTGGCTCACTACTTGACTAGCCTATTGGTCCCAAGCAAATCGATTAACGTATCCCATTCTAGTTGAAATTCTAGTACTACACTATGTTTGTTTTGATTTGCTATGAAAGTTTGACAGATAAAATGAGCGGTTCGTGGATTTTTGTGTGTTACGAGGAGTGCAACGATTAGCTTGGGACCGAAGATAGCACCAGAACCGAGCCAAAAAGTTGAGCACGTTTCTTCGGGACAATCTGGTCTTATCCTCTATGTCTGTACTCTGTACTGCGCAGGCGCAGAAATAGTGAAGTGCTTTTGAGATTTAAATAATTATAATTTTGTTTGCGTATGAAAAGTGCAATTTTTTATATTTACATCAATGTCAAAAAGCAAATATTAAAAAAAAAAATAACACAGCCGCTGATCGATTGCAATATTTGTAATATCTGGATTTGTATGGCTGATGAATACAAAGTCAAAACATTTTGAACATTTTTTGAACTTTATGTTCTCACGAAATATGCGCTCCAGTGCTACGGAAAATATATACACTGTAACGTTGATCAAGGCGTTTCTGTAATCTGTCAAGATAGTGAATTTGGCAAAAGAATTCAAAAAAGGGATTTCTCGATTATTTTTTTAAAGGGACGTATCTGCTTTTGTAAACGATGCATTTGATCGTCGCTTTAGCGTAACTGGCAGGTCACCCACGCATACTAACACCAGTATCAGGTAGTGATGGTAAATTGCATAATTTTGCGCAACGCAACGCAACGCAACTGTAAAATATCCCCTCCAATGTACACCGAAAATAGTTTTCATGTAGCTTCCATTGGAAACGCAAATGATTTTCATCCATAAACAAAATTAATGGAATTCATCTGAATTTCACATAACATTTATGCGATCACGTTAATTCTATATGATTTTTCATATGAATTTCATCGGCCTCATAATATTCATGTGATTTTGTGGTGGGATTTACAGCTATGTGATCACATGAAAGCTATGTGAAATTCACATGGTTTTCATCCATTAGATATGTGATAAATTTTTTGAGTGTAGTATATTTGGTTTCACCAAGTGTTGCCAAGAATTGATTATTCAAATACTTCATTACCGATA